ATGTTTTACTTTTGACATGATAGTTATAAAAAAAAAAACTAAACAAACGAAGTTCGACCTAAAACTTTGCCCATAGACAGCTCTTGAATTTATTAGAATCTTCTACAAATATTCAATCAAGACAAGTGATATCTCCTCAAAAAAAGACTAGACTCTCCGACCTTTTGCTGAAGTATTATAGGTTTTCGTTGTGTTGATATCTTGAGAAGAGATCATTCTTTTTCAACTGAAATTTTTAGTCGATTCTAATGATTTCAAGAGATGTCTGTTGATAAAGATTCAGGTTAAAATTTGTTTCTTTGGCTTTGTTAAAATAAATATCGTGACAAAAATTTAAAAAAATCAGTATAACAACTATAAATCTAACAGAGAGTAGCGCACCGAACATAATCTTTCTAATGCCAAAAGATCCCAGGTAGCGACTGAAGTTTCATGTTAAACACGATATATCAACTGGAATAGTTCCCTCGTAAGATCATTGTTAAGATAACCCAAGAAATGAATAGAAATAATTGTTGAGCCGATTGAAAAGTATACATTTCATAAGAGAATATATATTTGAATTTATTATGGCTTAGTAAAACATTATTAGACACCTAATATACATAAATAACGTTATTGTGGTTAAATATTTATTCAAAAAACAAAAAAAAATCAATTATATATATATGAATAATATTTAACATAAGTTATTTCTTATCAAAAAAAAAAGATTTTTTTTCTTAGTTATACAAATCCATTTCTGTTTTATTAAATTATAGATAACATCATAATGGATATATTAGGTTTAGGATCAAAAGTTGATGTAGATTTTATACTTGATCCTCAAGGTCAACGAAAACAGATTGATGTTAAAATTGATGATACAAAACGATCATTACAATATATTTATTATGATGGTGAAGATGTTAATGGAACGGTAAAAATAATATAAATTAAATATATTATAGTAATTTTATTAGAAATTTATTTAGGTGCAACTTAAATTAAAGAAAAATAATAAAGTAGAACATCAAGGAATTCGATTGGAATTTATTGGACAAATTGGTCAGTATTATTTCGAACAAGGATTTTCTGTCTAAACATGATCGAAAGTTCATTATGTCTAAGATAAATATAGAATTTATGAAAAAGAATTCGAATAAGAGTTATTTGAGAATATATAAAATACAATCTAACAGTATTTTACCATTCTATGAAAACAAATAGCAAATGTAACGAAGATTGTATATAGCGATGACTCTTTCAAGATTTTTCGAATAGTCTAATCACTTTTTCACCTAGTTGAAGAGGTTTTTTCCCACATGTACATTATGATTGGCTTACTTACTACAATTTTCAAAACTAACTTGTTATTTTATGTTTTCACTCTTAGAATCAGAGACTGTCACAGAGCAGGGCAAAACTTGTTGCCCTGATTCAAAAAAGTTTTTAACAGAATCTGATTAAAATTCTGTATTTTTATTCGAAAACCGATTAAAATGGCAATATTTTTATTGAATTTTAACATAATTATTTGATGTTCAATCGATTAGACTTTGTTACTAGATCAACACTTTTATATTTCATTTAAATTTATTTTTCTAGTACCTGTTTTAAAGAAGTTTTCATGTCAGAAGGCTTTCTTGCTTAGCTCAAGAAGTGTTTGTGGATTAAAAAAAAAGTTTAACCAAGGAATCCAATCAAATGTTGCCTGTTAATTTGAAGAGAAGACTTTATTCAGCTCTGTTGAAAAATAGCCGCCTTTAGTTTAATAGCCACGATAAATAAACAATCATTTTATATTAGAAGTTCGTTCACAGAAGCACAACAAAGGCAAAATAGAAGCTAATCTGATTCCTAATTTTGTTTTCAAAAATTCTGAAATTTCTTTAGATTTATGAATGTCAAGCTTGATTTTTGAGTAACAGACAATTGTTTTACAATTAAAATCACTTTACTCCTATTAAACAATTTTTTTCAATAAAAAACTTAGTATTCTGCAATATTTAGCTTCTAAAACGTCTACCAACAATAAAAGACTAAAGTTCAGATTTAAATTGATTGTTTTTGGATTAAAAATCAATTGTAGTAGCACTACTTTAATCAGATTTTATCATCTAATAGACAGATTTCATTCTATTTAAAATCTTTTTTCATCTATTATAATCGATGATTCAAAATAAAGCAATTATAAATGATTATTAGAAATCGATTTCAATTGATTAAAGTTATTTCACCCAAAATATTATTAAAAAATCTTACAATTAAATGAAATGTGTCTTTTTGACTGAAAACTCTGACTAAAGGCAGTCTAAAATAGTGCTAGTTCAATTAACGTTTACATCAGACACAATCGATTTTAATCTGGAATGAAAAAATCTAGGCGATGAATAGAAGACCAGTATTGGTAGGGTTAGATGAATCTTCGTAATAGAAAGCCATTATTTTTTATTCCATGAAAATGGAATATGAGTTTTATTTATTGCTATTTTAGTTTATACGTTGAACAAGCAATTATTATCGTATGTTGAAATATGATATGTGAAAGATCGACCTAATATTACACGTACTATTTGTCGTAATAAGAAGTTCAGAAAAAAAATGAATTTTTTAAGTTTCACTTTCAAAAATACATCTTTCATCCGTATCATTATTGAAAACGGTTGAAAATCGAATAATCTGATTCTAATAGTAGCATTTTCATTCAATTTTTAAACATAAGAAGTCCATTAAAATTATATGACTTCTAAAGCTTGTACAACAGTGCTTCTTTCTGGTACATGATGGTGTTTAATTATATAATAACTTTGATTGTAGCACTTTAGAAATAACATAAAGTATTGGTACGAAATTCGAAAGCAATCACATCATTTTTATGAAGATTTTAGATATTGTACTAGGCTTACTTAATTTAGATGCCCTGCCCTGCCATGCCCTGAGGGCAGGGCAGGACAAACCAAAAATGAATGAATCGTTTTCAGGGCAGGGTAGGGCAGAGCAAAAAAAACTATCCTATGACGGTCTCTGTGTCATATATATGCTCTTTATTATTAAAACTTTGCTTGGTAGAGATCTATCTATCTCATATATTGTAGTCTGATAGGTTTAAATCAAGATGAATAAGTAATCAATGGTTTATATGAATAAATAATGGATTAAAAAATTAACACAATAGAAGTGTAAAGGGTATTATCCATCGTTGATCTCTAAAGAGAATTGACTTTTCCATAAAATAGCTTCGAAATTATTTCAAATATTTGGACAAATAGAAATCAATAATTTTGTCGAGAATTGATAGATGATTCTATTGCGTAAAAAGAAATGTTTTTGTATACGTCACTAGTTAAAAGAAAATTCAAACATTAGAAACAATATAAACCTTTGATCAATTTAGTTTTTTTTTTCAAAAGATTCTGGTACATTATGAATATTTCCCATATATCTTTGAGACTATTAGCAGTAATATGCTCTTAATTATTAATATTCACGTTAAAGAAGCAACATGTATTTGAAAAAATTCTTTCTATACAATTTGTCAGATCCAAACAAAAAAAATAATATTACACTTGTCATAGCGATACTTTGATTAAATATTATTTTTATTTTAATAAATTTCTTTTTTTCAGAAATGCTCAATGATCGTAGTACAGTTCATGAGTTTCTAAGTCTATCAAAATTACTTGCATTTCCAGGTGAATTAAGTGAAAGTACATCAATAGATTTTAGTTTTCCAAATGTTGAAAAACCCTATGAATCTTATATTGGCATTAATATTAAATTAAGGTAATTAATTTCCATTGAGACGAATAATACAAAAAAAAATAAATATTCTTATAGATATTTTCTTCGTTTAACAATTATCAAACGTTTTTCAAATAATGTCTTTGAACGTGATATATGTGTTCAACAATTATCACAATATCCTGAAATAAATAATAGTATTAAAATGGAAGTTGGTATTGAAGATTGTTTACATATTGAATTTGAATATAATAAATCAAAATATCATTTAAAAGATGTTATTGTTGGAAAAATATACTTTCTACTTGTTCGTATTAAAATCAAACATATGGAAATAGCTATTATAAAAAAAGAAAATACAGGTACAGGACCAAATATTTATGCTGAAAATGAAACAATTGCAAAATATGAAATTATGGACGGTGCACCAGTTCGAGGTAAAGAAGAAAAAAAGGCAAATGTTTTTGTTTTTAAATGAGAAAATTTTTATTTAGGTGAAAGCATTCCAATACGTTTATTCTTGGCTGGTTATGAATTAACACCAACAATGAAAGATATTCAAAGAAAATTTTCTGTTCGATATTTTCTTAATCTTGTTTTAGTTGATGAAGAAGAACGACGTTATTTTAAACAACAAGTCATTGATTTTTCTTTTGTTTTTTTTTTTGAAAAAAAAGAATTTTTATTTTTTATTTTCTGTTTAGGAAATTGTTCTTTGGAGAAAACAAGATAAAGATAAAGATAAAACAAAACAATCAAGTAAACAATATGCTCATTTTCAACGACCTAATACAACTAATCAATCTGAAGAAAATCAATCAGGAATAAATCCAAGTGAAAAATCACCTGTTAATGAAGTTTTCTCGTCGGAAAATAATAGCGATGTTCCCAGTGATTGATAATTAACATTTTACAATATTTATAAAATAAACTATTTATTTCCATATTTATATATTTTATGCATTTATTGCAATTATTCAATTTTTTTTTCTCTTTTGTCTTTCCATAATTTTTTCCATTTTTTATTATAATGATTCGTATGAGTGTGAACAAAGTTTTTATTTGATATGTAATTCATTCTCATAACAAATCGAACTAAGTAACAAACATTTGTTGACCTAGTTGATAACTAATAATCGATTGTCGTTTGCTTTGTTTTTTTTTCTTTCTTAATATGCATCTGTACTTTTTCAAATTTTATCTTCTAATATCACGAAAAAAAAATAGGGAAGAAAATTTTTCATTGTAATTATAATTTTAATATTTCTTGCAGACCAATGGTCGAACGTAATCCCGATGAATTATTGTCATGTAAATTATGTCCTGAAGATGCAAAAAAAAATTTCTGTATAGCAAATTGTATTGGATGTAAAGATTTATTTTGTTTTGTTCATTTAATTCAACATCGTCAAGAATTATCAAATGAATTCGATCAATTAATCAATCAACATAAAGATCTGAATGAAAAATCATTTAATCAATTAAATATAAAGCAACATTTAGAATATATTGATAAATGGGAATATGACATAATTGAATTAATTCATCAACATACAAAAGATGTTAAAGAAAAAATTCTATGCATATTTAATGTATATAAATCTGAATTAAAACGACGTCATAAATATCTAGGAGAAGAAATTAATGTGAAACGAGATTTAAATGCATTTATTGAAAGTGATCTTGAAGAATTATCACACCAAATGAAACAATTAGATAAAGATATTCAAAATATCAACAAAGTATTAAATCAGATAAGTATCAATGAATTAAATCAGATAACCAATAAATACAATGAATCAGTAATTATTACAGGTAAAAGTTTTACTTTTTTTTGCAAAAAAAAAAATCTTTAAGAATTTCGTTTTCTTTTTTTTTGTTTTATAATAAAGAAAAATCAATAAAATGGAATTATTTATGTGAAATAAAACTTGATTCAACCTATGGTCATATGGCAGCTAATAATCAACAAATATTTCTTGGTTGGAAAAATCGTATTGTTATTTATAATATTGATGGTACAAAATATGATGAAACACGTTTACAGTCAGTTGAAACATATGGTGAATTATGTGATTTAATATATTCATCAACAATGGAATGTTTTTTTATTTTATGTCGAAAATCTTTATTTATTCATTATCCAACCAGTCATCAAGTAGAAATTTTATCATATATAACATTAATTAATCATAATAATCATTATATATCAATAACAACAAATAAAAATAAATTATTTTTATTAAATGAAAAATCTCTTGATGTATGGAGATTAAATAATAAAATATTTTTATTAGATTATTCAATATTAATAACATCGATTATTAAAAATCAATTCGATGAAAATATTTGTTGTATACGTACAACTGAACAAAATTTAGCTGTACTTATACAAAATCATAAAACACATACATGGCGTTTAGATTTATTTAATATATATCCATTTCAATGTATTTATATGGGTATATCATTTGATTATTTTAATCAACCAAATCTTGGTTTATTTATACCATTGAATAATAAGATTTATTTATTTATGAATTGGGAAACAAAATTAATGAGAATGATAGATTCAAATGGTTTAAATCAAATTATTGATTATAATGCATTTAATGCATGTTTATTAGGTACTGAACATAAAATTATTGTGAATTATATGACACATTTAAAAGTCTATGAATTTTGAAGGGTGATAATTTTCTTTTGTTTTTGTTTTTGTGTCAAACTTAGTTTTTAGATTGATATTGATACTTGAAATACTATTTGTTTTTTGTTATCCATTATTAGATTTGATTGTTATGGATAACTTCTATATTTGATTTTTCTAGATGAGTACAACTAATAATAATAAACGTGTTAATAACTTAGTCGTCGATTCAAGTGCATTCATTAGACAAGCACCATTACATGTATGTTTAATAGTTTTAAAAAATTCTTAACCTAGATTTTATTATAATAAAACTTTTAAAGACTTAAAAAGAAAGGATTCAAATTGATTACAAATAAGTTCAAAAAAATTTTTTCCTGACTAAAATAGTTTTTACGATAAATCATTTCGACAAACTAAACTATTCAATAAACGATTTTTAATGACAAAAAAAAAGAAATGTTTACTGCATAACATATGCTATTACTTGTACATTCGTTGTTTACAGTAAATATCAAAATCTGAAGTATATAGATTATTAAAAAAAAATAGAGTTTTCAAAACTACAACATTTAATACAAAAGATCTTATTGAATGAATAATATTTTAGAATTTGACTGATGTTGTTTATACGGTCGAAGATGTTGTCAAAGAAATACGTGATATCAAAACGCGTGAATCACTCAATGTAGTTCTTTATACATTGAAATTTAAAGAACCAAGTACTGAAGCAATCCGTTTTGGTAAGATTGGTTTCTTTTTTTTATTCCATTGTATTTTCAATAAATAATTATTCTCTTGTCTATATATCTTAGTAACAAATTATGCAAAGAAAACAGGTGACTATGCATTTTTATCAGCAGTTGATCTTCGACTATTAGCATTAACTTATCAACTTTATCAAGAAACAGTTGGTACAGAAAAATTAAATTTAGAACCAAAAATAAATGTAAGTTTACAAAGAAAAAATCTTATACAAAAAAAAACCAAAATTTAATTTATGTATACATAAAGGTTACTATACCCAGTTCAACAGTATCATTCGGTAATGCTGGTGTCAAATTAGCTGGTTTTGTTTTTCCAAAGCATGAAGTAAATGATCAAATAATTTAAAGTGATGAGTTATATTTATTGAATTTTGTTCATAGGAACAAAATGATGATCAAAATTCAGAGAAATCAACAACAGAAAATCAAATTGAAAAAGAAAATGAAGCAACAGAAAATAATAATGATGGTAATGAGGAACAAGAAGAAGAAGAAGAAGAAGATCCTGATAATGAAGAAGATGAAGATGTTCAATCATTTGTTACAGCAGTTGATAATGAAAATGATATTACAGAATCAATAAATGATCTTCATCTTGGTCATGATGATGATGGTAAGAAACTCAAAATTTATATTTTTATTCAAACTAATTTTTCTTGTGACATTTAATCAAGGTTGGATAACTCCATCAAATATTAAAACTGTCAAATCAAAAGCTTTAGACAATGGAACATCAGAAAATAGTGAAACAGTTCACGAAACTTTACCTGTTGCTTGTATTACTACGGATTTTTCAATGCAGGTATTTGTTTTTTATCTAAGGCTTCACACATTTTATTGAAAACCTTTTTTCTTTTTTTTTTATAAAAGAATGTTCTTATTCAAATGGGTATTCCTGTTCTTTCCGTTGATGGTCTTCTCATTCGAACAGCTCGTAGTTATGTATTAAAATGTCGTGATTGTCCAGGGTAAGAATTACAATCTTGTAGAAATTCTTATTTTGTAAAAACTTCATATATAGTGTTACTCGTCAAATGACTAAACAATTCTGTCCTGAATGTGGTAATCCATCTTTACAACGTGCTAGTGTTAGTGTTGATTCATCTGGTCAACGACATTATTATTTAACTGGTCGTTATCGACCAAAACCTCGTGTATGTAGACAGATTTAGATAAATGATAATATCCTACTATATAGATATGATTTTATTTTAGCAATCATTGCCATTGCCTCGTGGTGGTAAACATTCACATAATCCAATACGTGTTGAAGGTCAACCACGACCACAAAATCGGCCAACAAAAAAATCATTGATGAAACGAAATGTACTCGATGATGATTATCTTGCTGGTTCTTCACCATTTGCTGTGCACGATATTTATAGCCGTGCAGCAACACTCGGTATTAAACCAACAAGACGATAATTTACAAGAAGAATTTTCTTTCTTTTGTTTTTTGTTTGTTATGTTTGTCACTTTGTTTTCATGTATATGTGACCAGCGAAAGAAAAAGAAAAGAAAAATAATTAAAGACGAATCATGCTTTTATATGTCTGATACGATAAACAATAGAAACAATGAAAGAGAAAATAAAGGGACGAACCTATGGACGTATATAATCTTCTTTTTCTTCCATCTATTGTCGATAAAATAAGTTTGCCGATGTATCTATATCACAAGTCTGTCACCAAGGTGAAGTGAACAAGTAAGTTCATATGATTCATTCATAGTTTATTTATTTATCATTGATAGTGTCCGATTTTGATCAGTCAGAAATGTTGGATACAAATCCAAGACTATTAACACGTGATTTTATCGGTCTATGTATTGGTATTCTTTCTGTTGTGCTTGTCATTCTGATCGTAGCTATATGCAAATGGTCTCACTGTTTATGTTTAAAACGTAATAATGATCAAAATGAAGTATTGTCATCTATTCTACAACAAAATATATCATCATCAGATTCAAATGTACGACGTCATTATCAAAATAATGGTTATCCTGTTCATCTACAACAACGACAACAACAATGGCCACCATTATATGATAATCATCCAAGTAGTGTCTATCAGCATATAGGTGATTCTAGAGATGATGTTATTTCTTCATTACAAGCTGGTAATAGTAGATATCGTATAAATGATATTAAAGCACCTCGTGTTACAATAACAACATTACCGGTACAACCTTCTCAACAACGTGTCCCGTGTCTTTCGATGAGTCCACAAATATCCGGCTCATCGATTACACGTAGTACAAATTCACTTAAATAGTAACTTTTAAACGCTTTATACTTTTTTTTTCTCTTTTTTTGTAGCTTTTTTTTTTCTTTTTCTTGGAACAGAAAAAGACTTTATACAAAGAAAAATGTTTTATTTTTATCCTAATAAGAATAGACAAAACATAAAGTCTTATTTACACATCTATTCATTTGTTGTACTTGTTCTTTTAATACTATCAATAGTACTTCATTTTTCGTCTGATTTTGACATAACTTATGAAACGAAATGAAAGACGATGATTTTTATCTTTGATTACTCTTGTTTTACATCAATCACTAGTCAAATATCTGACATCTTGATTAATTTGTTATATTTATGGATCGAAAAATTTGTGAATGAATATATCCAGATTGGCTAATTGATGCAAAACTATTCGTCCTGAATATTATTGTTTTCCTTATCAACATTAGTTTTCACATATTTTAATCATTGATAATAAATTCAAGTTAATTGTACAGGTTTCAAAAACAATATTGTTTGAAATTGATTCAACAATGTGATCATGATCATAATTATAACAATAAGATTCGTATATATTCACAAATAAACTAAACAATTTTTGACTTGTTTGTATTTGTAAACCTCAACGGTCAAGACTCCGACAGATTATATTAGTCAAACACATGTTTTAATAAAATAACACTATCTTCGATGATATAACTTGTATTTACGATCAGTTATTTCTACAAGATAAGTGCTAAAATCTTCTCACATTTCAAAAATATTTTCAACGACTCAGGAGAAGTCTTATGTTTGAGCTTTGTATTATACGCACTCTTTGATAGTTCTCATCAGGTTAATACTAATATGCTATTTTCTACAAACATACAAAAGAAACACGAAAACACGAATAAGATTTAGAACTAAATATTGTATGGTGAGTCACAGATATGTATTGCGTCCTAGCGGCAAATATAAGCCATTTTTTGGGCGACCATTCCGCACAAGAAATTTAGGAGGGCCGTGACTGAAAAGCAATGTCCAATTTTTCTTTGCATTCGATTAAATTGAATTTTCCTTTTCTGCAACAAACGACAAAATAGACAGATTGAACGTAGAACAAGTCTTGTGTTCTTCACAGAATATCTTCATGTTTATTGTTTATCTTAGAAAGTTTATTTGAAATATAAAATGAAAAATTGCCTCAACATCAACTCGTGATATTCGTCAAATATATATAATATTCTTTCATAACATTTTTTAAGTTTATAATTTAGTTCATAAATAAATGTTTACAAAGGTAATACTATTATATAAGATATACCGTACAGCAAAACAAACATGGAAAAAAAATTGACAAAGAAATATTTTCCAATAACTGTTCGACACGGCTGTGCTATTGGTCAAAAAAATATTAGGCCACTGATCACCACCTGTATTCTTTTTTTAAGTGCGGTACACATGTGTATCATACGCTCTTAACAATATGAAAATCATCGGAATATCAATGAACCTTCATGTTATGCTTAGCAATATCTATCAAAGAAAATACTATGTTACATGATGTTTAACTAAATGAATTTGTTTACGTACGTAAACAACATGAGCAATTGCAGTTACTTGAAATGTAAAAACCGAAACAAGATACAAATTCTTCTAAATCTATATTTTAGTTAAGACAAATCGGTGTGAACGTAAATGATCAATTGACTTAGTTGTGACAGAGGGCGCTTGTATCAGTTCCCTTCGTATAGCACAAAATTGATGAAAAACTATGAAATACTTCTGTCATCAAATTTAATTTTTTCTTTTTAAGAGAAAAAATTTAATGAATATTATCATTTCAATCAGTTGATAAATGCAATTGACTTTTTTTTTAATGTATATAATGACTGGTCATTTTAAATAACAAATCGAACCAGATTCAAAAGTTTACCTTTGTTCGTATTGCATCCATCTTACTCCACAAAATTAATCCATCGGAACAAAATATAAGTAATTTCATCTTAATGAGTGATCAATTAGCTACACTTATAACTCAACTTAAAGAACGTCGAGCAGTAACCTATCAAGACAGAATCAAATCATTGGATATTCGTGATGAAATTTGGCGAAAATGTAATATTTTTTAATTTTTAAAGTTTTTTTGGAAAAATTATTCATTTTCTCAGATGTCGAACTTAACAAAGGTACATCATTTGATGCAATTGCTGCTCAACGTACTGGTTTATGTCAAGATATGTGTTGTGAACGAGAACGACTTACACGTGAATTTCAACGTTTATTTAAATCATATGAACTCGATCCAGATACACGATCTGTATGTATGATTAAGATAACAAAAAAAGGACTTTTTCTGATAATCAAAATATTTTTTCTAGTTAAATCATTCACTTATGATTACTGAATATTCACGAGCATCGGCTGATCAAGTTTGTTTGATATGATCTTGTTTCGTCATTTGAAAAAGATCTTAATTATTTTGAATTTAGGCTATGCCAACACCATATGATCTTCGTTCAGGTCCTGCTTTATTACATACGATGAATTATTTAATAACAAATATAATGGATAAATTTGATCAAGAACGTGAACAAGGTGATTGGTATAATTTTTTATGGGATCGTTTACGAGCTATTCGAAAAGTAAATTAATTTTTATAAATATCTTTATCTATTAATTTTTTTTTGTTTTTTTAATAATCTTAGGAATTAACTCAACAACATTTACGTGATGAAATAGCTATTGAAATTCTTGAACAATGTGCACGATTTCATATATTTTGTTCAGCATTTTTATCGGAATATTCACGTGATTTATTTGATCCTAAATTAAATGATAAAATGTTAATTGATTGTCTTAATCAATTACGTGAATGTTATTTAACACATAAACAACAAAATAATATGCAATCATTGAGAAATGTAGCTGAATTTTCATCATATATGTTATTAATGAATTTAAAAGAAGATAATGAAACATTATTGTTAGTATTTTTGTTTTCATTTAATTAAACAAATCGACGCTTAGTTTGAATCTGCATTATTGAGTTTATATACGGTTAATATGTAAATAATGATGCAGTTTAAAGTTCCATTTTCTGATTTGGTAGACATAATAGAAGAAAAACAGGGAGTCATAGAATTTAACATCCTGAAAAATTTATTGTTTTCTTTTATCTTAAAGAATATATTTATTCTATGAATTTTACTGCTTTTTATTCTTAAAAGAGTCTTGACTTCTTAAGGTTACATAAGGATTATAGGATTTGTTTATTTGTTAAGTAATAAACAAAAATACATTACTTTATAGATTCACGGATAAAGTTCAAGAAAATAAACTGTCGGAGTCGAATTCTGCAAGGTTCTAGTCGGATAGGACAAGAAGCATTATGTTATTGTAATTAGTTCATTGAAAATGAAGAATCATACTTAAGAATCTTTCCTCGTCAGTCAAGATACAATGTATGAAAACAAAATTTACTCCGTACATCTCTAACGTGACACTATTTTACTATTTATTACTTTTAGAGTTTTACAACTAAGTTGGAGTGAGATAAACACTTTGTAGGGTACGGTATGAAATAGTGCACTGTATCAGTTTTATTTCTGCTATTAAATGAGTTTGTCAAACTTGACTTGAGCATGCTACATGAATAAATAAATAAAGAATATAATATAATAAATCTTCGCAATCAACAGTTATCGTGATTAGACCATTACAAAGAGATATCCTCTACGACATTACATGATAATATTACTATTAATGAATCACTTTTTCGTGGTAGAAAAACTAAGCAAAATCCATATAGCTAAAAAAAATCATGAAGATATTATACATAGTTAGAATTCAAAAATAGTGAACCACGATTCAGTACACTACTAAGGATAGAGATTCTATAGGGCAGATGTTTTCGGAATAGGATAGGGTTATAATTAGAATATTTTGCTCAAGTAAAGTGTGCTTATCCAGCACATCTTTAATCGCATTTAGCTTTAATAAAAACCGAATTATAAACTTTTGTATTTCATGCGACTGTCAGTTCATAATTCATAGATTCTAAAATTCGTTGTGTTCATCATCGATGAAAATTTTTATTCAATAATTTCCAAATTTATTTATTTATTTTTTTTTGTTACCTAAAATATGCTAAATATTGATTATGTTTTTTTTTGAAATTTTATTTAGACGTATTCGTCATTTAATACAAGATATAACTGAAATCTCAGAAATAAATGTTGCAATTAATATTTATCGATCATTATTAATAAATAATACAACAAAATTTTTTTCACTTATTGAAAATAATGCTACTTTATTACAATCATGTTTACTTCATCGATATTTTAATATAATACGTTTAAAACGTCTTAATTCACTTATATCATCAGCACGTAGTAATGATGAATTTCGAATATCTGATATAACAGATATTTTTGGCATGGATAATGATGATGAAACAAAAGATTATCTTGAACAACTTGGATATTCAGTAACAAATACAAATCCACCATGTTTTATTATACCATCAATAGATAATGAAAGTCAACAACAACCAATAAATAAATTATCTCAAAAATTAATTAAATCAAAATATAAAGGAAATTTAAAAGATGTAAGTTTTTCAAAAAAAGAAAACTAATTATTAAAAATGTCTTGATTTAAAATAAAAAGATTATTACTGGATATCCAGATGTACCGATTATTATTGCTGATACAAATGTTGAAGATAGTTTTGATATTCAAGGATATTTTATTGGAAAATTACCTATTGATTCAGATAAATTAGGTAAATAAAAAAGACAAAATTCTTTTGTTTTTTCTAAATATTAAATTTCTAGCAACAATACTTTCTCGAAAACCACCACAACCACTAGAGCAACCACAATTACAACAACAATCAAAAACTCAAACGTTTTCACCTGGTAAACGTCAACTTTCTGAAAGTGCTCTTCGATCATTGGCAGCAACAACAACAGCAAATACATTTGTATTTTTAAAATGATTTTCTTTTTTTTTTTTTTTCTCTTAAGAAAATCAATATTTAATAA